TGACTGGCCGCTCCTCACAGCCCCTCATCAAAGGCTCCCGTGTATGGGTGTCAGGTGATTCCTAGAGGGTCTCCAGGATTTAGGGGTGGTGCAGAAAACCCATTCAGAACAGTCTTAGGGATTTCTCTTAGTGCACGCTCCCACCCGAGGGGTTCTCTGGCTGGCCTCATGCTGCCCTTGCACACGAGCATGCCACTTAGGGGCACAGGTGTAGGCCTCTGTCACTCACACCTTGTTTCCCAAAAGGGAGAGAAGGACAGTGAATGTGAAACCTCTGTTGGCTTGTGAAGTTGAAATCAACATGTGAAGTAGGTGAATTCCCTGGCAGTGGCCTGCTGAGATGCACAGCTTCCAGGAGAGAAGCCATGTCCAAGGCAGGAGAAGCTCTGCATGGTCTTGCAGATCCTCACTGTGGTGAGAGTCCTTCTTGTTTCCCGCCGGTCAGGCCAGCAGGCTGACGACGGCTGGGGATCATGTGGAGGCCTTGGTGCAGCCCAGCGTACGGCTCAAGGCCCGGGGCATCCAGGACGTGTGTGGCCCTCACTCTGCCCCTGAACTTTCACCAGGGGCAGGTCTTGGCTCCATCTGTGGTGCCTCTGGCTCTGGCAAAGCCAAGCGGCCTTCAAGGGGCTGGTATGGTGCAGCCTGGCCGGGCAGTAGACTCGCCCTGATGCTCATGAGAACGCACGTCCAGGCCTCAGGTCCCTTAGAACACAGAGTGCAGGAGCAGCTATCTTAGATGGAGGCACTGTACTGATTTCCCACAGAAGACTTTGTGCTCACCTGTGGCCTGTGGGTGGCCTGGTCCACTGCAATCAGAGTGCCAGCGGTGCCATCCTGTGCCAGCGCTTTGGTGCCAGGGAGCTCTCGGGGCCTGGGATTTGCCCTATTCAGCTGGACCTGGGGAGTCTGTCTGAGCCAGCGCACCCATGGGTCACTTCTGCTTAGCAGCAGTGCCCTCATCCACAGAAGCATGGGACAGGCTGTGGGACACAGGACACCAGGCAGTTGGCAGAAGGCAGAGGTCCCGGTAGCCTGAGCTGGGGTGCCTGCCCCATTCTGCTAGAGGCAGTGTCTGTGTCAGCCCCCACACCTGCTTGCAGGGTTACAGGGAAGCAAAGCCCCCTGGGCAGAGGGGCCATCACCCTGGCGAGGGCTGAGCCAGAGGAACGAGGTGTCCAGAGCCACACTTGAGTCACAGCTTTCCTTCCCGTACATGAGGCTGGGGCATCCCACGTGCAGCGGGAGATTTGAAGCAGGTCTGGGACACATGGACCTCTGAGAGGAGTGCCTGGATGCCCTCCCTGCTCACAGTGAGGCCACAGCATCTTCTGTCAGCCCGGCACACTTCCCAAGCCAAGAGCAGGAGGGTGGAAGGACAACTGTGGGTCGCTTGGCTCCCTTTGGGTTGGCCCTGCTGTGGGCTGCCTGGGGCTCAAAGCGGGCTTTGTGCCTTTGACACTCACTCTGGAAGGAAGACCCCTGGGGCCCTGGTGTCTGCAGTGCAGGAGGAGGGGATGGGAGGAGCACCATTATCCTCTGCTCCAGCAGGAAGAGTTCAGATTTTTAAGTGTCTCATATCTGCTTAGCATTTGAATGACATTTTAATTATTTTGTTTTTTTCTCCTTTTCCTGGTTTGAATCTCCAAAGAGTCCTGCTCCTAGGTTCTGAAGGGATGGGGGGGCTCCCCAGGCTCATGGTGTCAAAGGTAGTGGCTGTGCTTCCCTGCTGGTGGACACGTTCACCAGAAGCCAGTGGAGCCACCCCCGTGGGTGCAGGTAGGGCCTCCTACAGCAGGCTGGCCCAAGTCCTGGTCAGCCAGACACACCTGACAAGGCAGAGGTGCCCCGTGAACGTGATCCTGGGCATGCCAGGCAGGAGTTCCTTCTGGACACCATCCGCATCCCCGGTGCTTTGTGGTCCAAGCACACCAGTTTCCAAAGACTCCGCTTGACCAGGCAACTCCTCCTATGTGCAAGGCAGTGCCCCAGGACACGGCAGGCAGACTTCCACACTGCACGTGGCTCCCCTGCAGTGTCGAGAGCCGGCCAGGGTCTCTAAGACCTTGGAGACTCTCGGTGCTGACCCAGGAGGTGGCTCCTCCAGCTTCACAGCTGAGAGGTCCTACAGGTGCCAGGGGGTCTGTCCTGCCCAGCTCCCTGCGATCGCTTGTCTCTGTCCCCTAGGTGTTGGGGATACCCACACACTCCTCCAGGGGCCAGACCACAGCTCCACGTGGCCACAGCCCTTCCTGGCACTCCCACTCAGCCGTCCTCTGCACTCCACGTTCCATGCAACCTGCCTGCGCATGGCCCTGCTCCTGGCCAGTCTCCCTGCCTGGATGACTGCAGAAGCTGTGGTCTTTGCCAACCAGAGTAGCTAGGGAACCACTGACTGTGCACTACCCCTGCTGTCCCCATGTTCTTCCCATGTGAGAATTGGTTGTGTTGACTGGGACCCACCCCCCAAATGCTGACTCATGTAGCTGGGATAATGTTCTGCAGGGGTCATTACAGTGTGCCATTGGCTGGTTTGGTAAGCAAGCTTGTCAGCTGAAGGCCTTAGATGGTGGTCCCAGCCCCTTCCCCGAGGTCTGACTGCCCTTCCTTATGGTTAGCTAGCCCCCTGTGCCTTCAGTGACAATCTGGTTGTCTCTCTTGTCTCCCTGCCTGCACACCAGGTCTGGGTTCCCTGGGCACCTCTTGCCTTCCCATCTTGGCCTTTCCCTATCCTCTCTGCTACAGACACACTAGCCCTTACCAAACCTCCTGCCCACTGCCTGGTCAGCTGTACTGCACTCGGTCTTTCCTTGCATGGCAGCCCCCAGCTCTCAGGGCTGCCCCTCTCCTCAGGCCATCCCTGTCAATCCATCCACTTGCAGGCTCGCCTCCTGTGTGAACTGAATGTTAGTATGTCCCCAAATTCATGTGTCCAGTTCTGACCCCTTGTGTGTGGTAATGTTAATACCTTCTAACACCTCTGCAAGGGGAGCCCTCATGAAGGGGATTAGTGTCCTAACAAAAGGATCACCACAGAGACCCTTCATCTTCTTTCCTCCACATGGGGCATAACAAGAGGTTATTGACCATCTGCAAGTGAGCCCTTATCAGAACAAACCATGCTAGTTGACTTTCAGCCTCCAGATTCTGAGAAATAAATCTCTGTTGATAAGCCACCCGCACTTTGTCATAGCAGGCAGAGGCACCTGCTCCAGGCCTTTCTTCTCTGCACCTTTGATGTGCCTGCCCATTCCACCTCTGCTGGGATATGATCATCTTTGTGCCCAGCTAGACCTCACAAGAACTCTGAATGAATGATGGATGGATTGTGGATGGATGATGGTTGGATGGAATGATGATGGATGAGTTAATGGATGATGGGAAGATGGATGTGTAATAGATGACAGATAGATGAGTGAGTGAGTAATGGATGGGCAAATATGTGGAATGATGGATGAGTAGATGGACAATGGGTGGGGGGGTGATGGGTAGATAGACAGATGAATGACCTATAGATGAAAGAATGAGTGTATGGATCAGGAATGAATGATGGGTAAATGGATACTGGATGAGTGGGTGATGGCAGAAGGGTAGATGGTTGAAGGATAGGTGGATGAGTAGGTGTTGGATGATGGGATTGACAAATGAGGGATAGATGATACTTGGATTATGAGTGGATGTTTCAATAGGTGAACGGATGGTGGATAGATGATAGATTCACTGACAATAGGTAGATAGATGATGGATGGGTGGATAAGTGGATATTGAATGTTGATGGATGATGGATGCATGGTTTATATAGATGGTGGCTGGATATGAATGCATGCACAAAGGGTGGGTAGATGATGGATAGGTGGTTGCGTGGATGTTGGATGGGTGGTGGATAGATTATTGGTGGATGAATGATAGATGAACAATGGATATATGGATGATGGGTGAGTGGGTGCTGAATGGGTGAATGGAAGGTGGATAGACAATGGATAGGTGAGTGATGTATTATGAAGCATGGACATTTGGTGTATGGATGATGGACAAGTTGATGAGAAGATGCTGGCTATGTGGATGGATGTGCAAGGGATGGATGCATGAATGATGGTTGATGTATTGATGGATGCGTGAATGAAGGGTGGATGGATGAGTGATGAGTGGTGGATAAATGATGGATGGAAAATGGGTAGGTAGATGGTAGATGATGGGTGGGTGGATGGTGGGAAAATGATGGACAAATGGTGAGTGGATGAGTGGATATTGGATTGCTGGTGGCTAGATAATGGATCATAGATGCATGGGTGATAGTAGATAGATTATGGATAAGTGGGTGAGTAGGTGTTAGATGGGTGATTAGATGGTGGGTGAATGATGTCCGATGGATAAATAATGGATGTGTGGATGATGGATGGATGGATGATGAATGGGTAGATGGTATTTGATAGATGATGGATGGTAGTTACATGATCATGGATGATAGATGCATGCATAATGGGTGGATGAATAGATGGATGGTGGATCAATGGTGGATTCCTCATTTACAGATGGATGATGGGATGATTATGAGTAGTGGATGTTGGAATGGTAGATGAGGGATGGGTGAATGAGTTAGTGTTAGATGATGGAGAGATGATGGAGGAGTAATGGATGAGGAGTGGATGATTGATGGATTGATGGGTGCATGGATGATGAGTGGATGGATGTGTGGATGAATGGATGATCGATGGATGTATGGATGAATGGATGGTGGATGTGGGGATAATGGATGATGGGTGAGTGGGTGTTGCTTGGGTGGTGTTATGGTTTGGATATTAGGTGTCTCCCAAAAGCTCATGTATGAGATGATGCAAGAAGGTTTAGAGGGGAAATGACTGGCTTATGAGAGCCTTAACCCAATCAGTGAATTAATCCCCTGACAGGTAGTAACTGAGTGGTGACTACAGACTGGTAGGGTATGGCTGGAGGAGGTGTGTCCTTGGGGACTGACGCTGCTTGCTGTCTTGCCTCTGCAGGGCCTGATCAAGATTCGTGGTGACCAGTGCTGGCGAGATCTCACTTGCCTGGACTTCCACTACGAGGTGAGCAGCTGGGCCTGTCCTCGAGGGGTGCCAGTCCCCATTCACTGAGGACATCCCTGCTCCCAGATCTCTAGGGTGGATCACGAGGCAGTGTGCAGAGTGTCATGTGCCTGCCAGCTGGTAGACAGGTGTTTGACCTACCCCTGGCTGCAGGTCCAGCTGTCTGGCTTTCCTCACCCTCTGGGGTGGCAGCTCCCCCAGCTGTGCCCTTCCCTGGGTGCATCTCTATCACCCAAGCAGGTGACTGCTGCTCTGTTCGGGTCCCTGGAGGCTGTACCAGGCCTCGGCCCAGGGCTCCGACTCACCCAGCCGTCCCATCCTGCCAGGTCTGGTGCTCGTGTGTGGGTGGGCACGGGGCTAATCAGGGTGCCACAGGAGACCGCGGTGTATCCTGTCCTGCAGGGCTGTCCTCCATGCCTCTGCCCTACTGCCACAGCTCTGAGGCTCACTGCTGGAGCTTTCTGTCAAGCTCGAGCCTGGCCTCCTGAGTACAGGGTGCTGCTGCTCCGGTATGCTGTGCGTCAATCCCGGGGTCCTAGTGTCTGCTGGCTGGGCACATGGACATCAGCATTTGTGCTGGGTTTGATCAGCATGCCTTGAGTTTATTTTTTAAGGCTTCGAGCCCGGTCAGGTCCTCCAGAAGACCTGACCTGCCTTATCAAGGGTCCCGCGAGCACCTCTATCCCAGGGTGGGATGCCAGAGAAGAAATATCTCGGCCTCGCCCATGATGGGGAGCAGGCTGCCTGCTGAATGGCCTCAGTTGGCACCCCTGCCCTGAGGACAAGGCCCAGAGACCTCAACCTGAGCAGTGAAGCCCAGGCTGGCCTGTCCCTCAGGGTCCAGAACCAGCATGGCAGCCTCTCAGCAAGGCTTTCCTACACTCAAGCATGGGCCAGTGGCAGCAGGTGCTGTGGACATGGGGCGTCTGCAGGTCAGGGTTGGCAAACCTGGGAACTGTCGGGATGCCACTGCAGTAGAAGCAGGTACACCAGCCAGGCCCTGCCAGAGAGCCCAGGGCGTGCTGCTGCACCCAGGACATGCACTCCAAAGAACACCTGCATTCTGCAGCCAGGGCTCTTGTCCACTTACCTGGTTGTGCACTCCACTGTACATGTGGGACTCATCTCTGAAACAGCGAGGATCCCCGCCCCTCCCCAGGACCCAATTGGCCAGGATGCATGCGTGGGGGCAGGCTTTCTGTGGGACAGGGTCACGTCCATGGAAGCCCTGTGGTCACTGCTGCACTTAGTGCAGGAGGGTTGGGAGAGAAGACTGAAAATCTGTCAGGGCTGCTTTGAACCTGCCAGAGGCCTGGGGTGAAGGGAGCCCCTTCCCCGCGCAGGTCAGCCATGCTGCTCTGGGGTCCTGCCATGCCAGCCACCAGCTCTCCTGGCCCAGGCTAGGCCCTGTGATGCTGGCTGGCCCAGGGGCTCCAGAAGGACAGCCATGGGTCAGTCCCCTGGGTGAGGACTACTGGGGGCCAGTGCTTGTGCCCTCTGTGTGGCTGTTGGCCTGGGGTGCAGGCTGGGTTCTGACCTGTGCTGTCTGCAGAGGGCGTGTCATGGGCCCAGCCCTGGCTAGGGACTAGACTTGGCACAGAAGCATGCCCTGAGGGCTGGCAGAGGGTGCTTGTCCTGACTAAGACTGGGGAAGGGGTCAGCTGGGCAGCTCAGCTGGCCCTGGGTGTCAAGCAGGCCTAACTGGCCAGGGTCAGGACCAAGAGGCTGGGGTGGGCTCTGAGCACGGACTGCGTCTCAGAGCTCCTTTCCCTCTGGTAGGACCTTGGCTTCCACCTCTTGTCAGTCCAGGTCTCCACACCCATGGCCCACCCTTTAACAGTGTCTAGTTGTAGAGGGGACAGAGCCTCCGTCTCACCTGCGCCCACCACTTCTGGGGCTCATCCTTTGCAGGGTGCGGCCCCACGTGCTCTGCCCTCCCACGCGGACTTGCTGCCTGTACTAGCTGGGTGCAGGCTGGTGCTGAGCTCAGGGTGTGCTTCTGGGTGTCCCGGTCAGCACTCTGTAACATGCAGTCCTGCTGGCTGTAGCCTCCTGGACCACAGGGTGTTGTGCGTGGGGAGCACCTTGGGTCTGTGGCTACAGCCTGTGGCGTCTGCTCTCCCCAGGAATCGGCCACGCGTGAACGGGGCTGCCAAGGCTGTTGCACGGGACGTGGGTGCTTTTTCCTTTCTAAGCATTTTGGGGAGTGTTTGGTTGTGTTCTCTGACTGTGCCACAGCATCTTCAGACCCTCCAGTCCCCTCCTATTGGGCCTCTTTGCCGAGGACCCTGTCGCATCTGTGTTTCACGGTGGAGGTTCCCTCTTGTGTTTCCCATAGTGCTCTCTCCACGGCTGTCCTGGGGACTACATCTGCCACGTGCAGTGGGCCCTCTGCATGACCTGACACCTGCATGGCCTCAGACATGCAGCACTACACACTTGCCATTGGTGTTGGGTGTCACACGATTGCAACTTCACGTGTGGCGAGTTCAGACTTGTGACCATAGTCCCTGAAGCTCGTCTGTCTCTTGACATGGAAAACGGACTGTAGAGTCGTGAGGAGAGCTGCAGGGAGGCTGCGCTTAGACTGGTGACTGCTCCAAGTGGCTCTGTGTACAGCATGGAGACGCAGGTGCACACCCCTCCTCCACCCTGCAGAAACCAGGGGCTGGTGAGCAGCTTTTACACCTGCCAGCACGTTGGCTGCTTGCAGTCTGTCTTCCCGTAGGGTCAGGTCGTGGGGTGTGGGCCAAGGTCCTGTGTCCACGTCTCACTGCCAGTGTCTGCTGCACCGTGCACTGCAATCTTGAGGGCAGGGGCTGCAGCCTATGATCCTGGGGACTCCGGGGTTTGCTGGACCTGGCCAGGAGGCTTGGCTCCATGCTGTGTCAAGTGGGACTGCTCTTTGGGAGGTGGTGGCTCAGTGGGGCCCCATGCCCTGTCTGCCCCGCCTCATGCTGACTGGCCTCCTCCAGACCTCCTGGTGGGCCTTGTGCTGGGAAGTCCCAGAGTGCCCCTCGCCCTGCGGTTTTCCATAGAGGTGAGTCCTGCAGGCAGCCGGAGCTCTAGTGGAGGGGACAGACGCTTGCTCCCCTTAGTGGGTCCCTCGAGCTGGTGGGGCTTGGTGGCTGCCGTGTGGGAAGCAGCACCGAGAGCAGCTCGCATCAAGGCGCCTGCGCTTCCCTGGCGTTTCTGCATCCAGGCCCCATCTGCATGGCTCCGTTCTCCTTCCCTGCGTCTCTACTGCCTTGGGAGGCGCGCAGTGGCCGGGCAGCTCCCGCTCAGGCGAGCACTGTGGAGGCACCCCCAGAGCGGCCTCCCTGGCTGTCCACCCCTCCAGGGCCGGGTTCTGATCCCAGTAGTATCACCATGTTGGGCCTCAAGTGGTGCCCCTGATCTGCTCCTGGAACACAGCCACCCCTGCAGTTTGTCCCAAGGTCTCACTTTTTGGTCAGCATGAGCCACCTCCACATGCCCACAACACGTCGGCACCACGGTGCCAGGGAAGAGGTCAGTCACCCCAAAGCAGGCGAGAGCTTGGGCTTCGGGCATAGCCCTGCCTTCAACACGCAGACGCCGACTTCCTGCAAAGGCCTCATACCAGGCCCTGGGCTGGCATAGGGACCGGCTTCCCGGGATTGGTGGTGGTGCCCGGCAAGCAGTACTCACCACGTCAGTGTGTGCGCCTGAGATGAGGCATGGCGTCGCCATCACACTAAATCCCCAAGCGCACTCCGTGGTGGCTGAAGTAGGAAAATGGGGACCAACCATCTGTTCTTTCCCTGCGGGGATGGGCCCTCCAGCTCCCTGGGCTCATGGTTTTCTCCTTAAGATTGTCTCCTTGAGGGCAGATCTGCAACGCAGGACCTGAAGCCTGGGCTGTGCTGTGCACGTCTTGCACCTGGGGATGGCGCCGCGCCTCACCCGGTCGCAAGTGGGCGGCTCTGGCTCCCGGCGCCGGCTCCCACCGCCTGCCTGGGTGCCACTTCAAGGCTGCCAGCTCCTCCACAGCTCACAACCAAGCTTCAGTGCAGACAGTGAGGCTTCTGCCCCACGAGGGGTCAGCAGTTGGGGCATTGAGCAGGCCCTCTGTCCGGAGGACCAGAGGCCATGCTCCGTGGAGCCAGCCAGGCTGGGAGGGGTGCATCCTGGAAAACAGACCTCCTTGCCAGGACCGTCGTGGCCAACACTGGCAACATCTCCCTCCCAGACGCAGCCAGGCCAGGGCCACTGGCCGTGGTCAACCTGTACCTGGTGTTTTATTCCATCTCCATTCCCCTCTGAACCTGCAGGGGCCTGGCCTTCCCCAGTCCAGAGCCCCTGCCCCAGCCCCCTGTAGAGTAGCTGTTCTGCCCCACTCACTTGTCCTCCCTACCCCATCTCGCTGGGATTTCCAGTGATCTGTGGAATCCAGAGTCTGTGTCACTGTCCCCATGCTCAGGCAGGTGCTATCCCATTCCACCCTCATGTCACTCCTTAAAGGTTCTGTCCACTTGGGACACAACCCCTCAAATCCCCTTCTCCCGTGTGGTGGGGTCAGACGCCATAATCCCTGGTCTCTACCACAGCTGCAGAGTGAGCACGTGGGTCCAGGTGGAGCCCTGGTTGGGACGCCCAGTGCTGGTGCAGGAACCCACAGCCAAGGGTTCTGTCCCCAGTGTAGGGCCGTGGGTCACACTGCACAGACCAGGTTGCTTATTTCTGTGGGAAGCATCTTGGAGATGGGCGCCCACCCTCTGGGTGCACCTGCAGAGGGCTGGAGGGCACCCATCTCTCCCCATGGCATGGTTAGGGGAAGAGTCCGCTCTTCTCCCATCTAGCCAGCTGTGGACTTCAACTCAGGTTGGGCAAGTAGCAGGTGCTGCCCACTGGGAGGGCAAACACAGAGCCCAGGAAGTGGGGACAGCCATGGAGGCACTGTGGCCCAAACTGGCAGGGGCTCCTCACACTGAGGCTGGGGTGGCAGGAGCCAGGCCTGATGGGTGTCACTGTTTTAATGTTCTGTGGCCAAGGCCACACCCAGGGGAATGGCACCCAAGAAGACATGGGCATGCTCTTCCGGTCAGTTTTGTTCCTTCTCTGTGTGGATGGCACCCATTGTCTCCTGCTTGCTCAGAGTCACCTGATGTGTGTCGAGGGGCCCCACGCTCTGCACTCCAGCTGCTCCTTGTGCAGCCCCCCAGAGGCCACCTGCCTTCTGCCTGTGGCAGGCAGTGAGCCTCCCCAGGCCCCCTTGTGTCCTTCATTTGGGCATACTGGTTCAAAGGAGCTCTTGCAACTAAGAAGTGCATTTTCTGTATTTAGATAGTGACAGTTTTAAAGCAGAGAAGGAGTGTGCTCTGCCTCTCAGGCTGGCCAGGTCAGCTCTGTGTGCAGGGCTGGGGGCGTGCCATCCTAGAGCCCCACCACCTGGATCCACTCGCAGCTCAGTGGCTCACAGGCCTCCTTGTCCCTGCAGACCCAGCCAGTGCCCAGCCCCCTGGCCTACTTCCTGCACAGGACGCCCTGGTGGGTGCACCGCTTTGAGGCCCTCAGCAACCACTTCCTAGAGCTCCTGGTACCCTTCTTCCTGTTCCTCGGGCGACGGATGTGCATCCTCCATGGCGTGCTTCAGATCCTGTTCCAGGTGAGTGGCCCCCTGTCCCCTGCACTGGTGCCCTACACAGCTCCTCCCAAGGGGGGACCTGGGGGGTAGAGAGGGACAGGCACACTGGACATGGCATTCCCCATGTTGTCAGGTTTAGCCCTAAAGTTTTTCCTTAAGTTCTAGAAGTTTCCTTTCACATGCACTGTCTGCACCAGGACTGGGATTCCTGGAGCTGGTCCCCTGACATCAGGTGGGTGCCCAGCCCACCCTCTGCCCTCCCAGGCTCCCCGGCAAGGTGCATGACCCCTTCAACCTCCTGGCACCCACACCACCTCTGGACAGGTCTCCTGCAGACGTGTCCACAGAGATTCCACAGAGAGCTGCGCGGCCGTGGGCACAGTGGGTCTCCCTCTGTGCGTTGGTGTGCGTGGGGGTCCAGGCCCCTCCCACCTCTGCCCGCAGGCTGCGGTGGGCCTTGGTGCCTCGTCTCCCATGAGACGAGCTCTGGAGGACGCTGTGGTGTGAGGGGCAGTGTGTTTGGCTCTCAGGGAACTGCCCCTGGCCAGAGCAGCATCCCCTCCCACCACTGGCCAGCAGGAGCCCAGGTGGCACATGCTTCGTGGGTCCTTGTGTCACCATGCTGGGGCAAGAGCAGCTCCTTGTAGTGGGTTGAGTTCCTTGAGGGCCAGCAGTGTCCAGGGAACCAACTGGGGAGGGCTGTCCCAGCCAATAGTACACATCTGTCTGCAGAGCCTGGGGTGACCTTGTGGTCAGTGCGTCCTTGGGCTTAGTATAAGCTCACCTTAGATTTCAGGTGGCTTCCACCCAGGTTCTTCCTCCATCACTCGGGCTTGGGACTTACTGTCGGCCCCGGGCAGCCACGGCTGCCCCAGGACCCTGCCCTGGGCCTGGCCTGCTTCCCTCCTGGTGTGCGGGGCCACATGTCGTCTGTGGGTTGTGAGGCTGCCTGCATCGCGGGCCATGCTCTGCTCAGCCTGGAGTCTGGTTTGGCTGACGACGAGGGGCCGGCTTGTCCCCAAGTCTGCCCAGGTGCTGAGGTGCAGCCCGAGTCACGCATGCTTGAGCACGTTCCTGGGTCTGTGGACTTGGTGTGGCTTCCATCCCAGCCTGGCCACGTGTGTCTGCTGTCCACTCAACTGTCCGTGGTCCCCCCAGCCTGGTGGGCAGTGCCACAGGGTGCTTTACACACACTGGACATGCAGAGATGTTCCCTCCTTGAGGCAGCTTCAGGGTTGGTATTATCCTGGGAATAAGGCTGTTTTCAAATTTACTGCCCCCAAAGAAGCCCATAACGCTCTCAGCTCCCGAGTCTGGACCTACGGCCTCTTTTCCCCTCATCCCCTATTCTCTGGGGAGCAGGTCATGTTTAACCAGAGCTGGCCAGAGGCCCTGCACAGTGCCTGGCTCGAACACTCACCCTGTCCCTGGAGTCGCCTGCTCTCAGTGTCCCTCAGCCGCTTCACATTGCTCTTAAGACCTCTCTTGGAGCAGTTTTGGGTTCATGGAAAGCCGCAGAGACTGCAGAGGCTCCCTATGCACCCCCCAGCCCCCACATTAGCTCAGACTCAGCGCCCACTCAGGGCCGCCCTTGCTGTGCTCTGTGGGCTTAGACAAACACAAGGTGACGTGCCTCTCAGAGGGCACAGTGCCCTGAGACCTGCATTCTGTCCGTTGTCTTCCACCACTCCAACCTGCATCTTTTCCTGTCCCCATATTTGCCTTTTCCAAAAGTTCGTGGGGCTGGATCACATAAGGTGCCGCCCTGCCAGGCTGCCAATCTGGTGGGCCCTAAGGTCCCTGAGTGGGGAGAGGCCCCTCCACAAGGGCTCTGGTGGTACTTTAGAAGTCCTGGTCCAAGCGCTCGCCTCCTTTCCAGGCCTGCAGGTCCAGGTGCATCCCTGGCAGATGCAGACAGGAAACTGCTGGGCCAGTCCTGGGTGCCTCTGTGGCCTCTGCTCCCTCCCATGGCTCACCGTGCACCTCTAAAGCAGCCAGAGTGCACTGCGGCCCGGGCAGTGTGCAAGTGGCCTTCCCATGTCTCTAGGGCCACAGTGAGGTCACAAGGCAGGCTCCTCCCAGGAAGCAAGTGGGCATAGGCAGGCTGGACACCAGCCTTCTGGGATTCCCCCAAGCAAGGGATGGGACCCCTGGCCTGAGGGATCTGCTGTACAGTCGGAGCAGGAGAAGTTGAAACTGGGCAAGTTCCGCCACCCGCCCTCAAGGAGGCAGAGACTCAGAGGAAGCCAGGGCTCTCAAGTGCCATCCTAGCTGGAGGAAATGGCCTCCTGTAGCCGCGGACAAGCAGAGGAGGCTGCTTCCTCCCAGCTACCATCCCAGACCAGGCCAACCCCAGAAGGCATGAGGTGGAGTGGGTGCTTCCCAGGGCATCCCTCCCACGACACCCCAAAGGGCTCAGCTTGAAGTCAGGCCCACCACCAGCCCTGGACCCTCCCCATGTAGGAGGGGGCTCGGGACTCTGAACAGCCCTCCTGTCACAACCACAGTCCCTGCGTCCCGGGCCCTACCTGTCCACGGGAGGACACCCAGCACCCAGCAGCTCTGGGACCCTGGTCAGCCCAGGAAGCTGGTAGAGAAACTGCAGATTGGGCAAGTGTGGGGCTGGGCTACTTGGGCCCAGGGGTTTGGTGACATCATAAACAGAGAAGAATAAGAATTATTTTTGAACTTGGAACCAGGAAAATTAGTTCTCCCAACGGATCCAGGGAGAGCCTTGAATCCACAGTTCCTAAGCTGCAGTCATAGCCACAAAGCCAACGAAACCCTGCTCCCCTGCACGAAGCCCTCGTCACGCCCACATATATGGCCTCAGAGCTCCCACTCCTCACTAGGACTAGGCCGAGACCAAAGTCCAGGAGCGTGGGGCAGGGCCATGGGGAGCTGCCCTGGTCCACTCCCACCAACACAGCACAACTATCGGCCGTTGGGGTGGCACCAGAGCTATCCTGAAGAGGACATGCCTTGGCCCCAGCAGCCTGGATGCCACACCCATGGGCTGGTGGTCACTAGCACTGTCCTCATGAGCTTGTCGTCCTCCTGCTGGACCTACCAGCATGGCATTGGCAGCTCTCCACATTTTCCTCTGGTCAGTCCTGGTCACCTCCTATTACTCTAGCAGGGCCTCAGCCCTACACCACTTCCTCCCAGCAGCCTTGTCCTGAGCAGGGTACCAGCTATTCTCCCCATCTCGGGCTTGGTCAGTGCTGAGCTGTGTCCATCCACAGCTGGACTTCCATGGGGAGGGCTTTGGAAGTGCAGAACGTGAAGGAACCTGCAAGCAGAGCAGGGACAGGCCCCGGGAGCTGGGTGATGGAGACCTCAGCCATGGGCTGGGCAGACTGCTGGCGGGACCCAGGAAGCCCTGAGCACACCTCAGCAGCCACTGCCCCAGGCTCCAGGCTGGATGCTGGCAACATTGCACCTCAGGGTTGGCACATGGCCCTTGGGCCTGATCCAGGCCAGCTCTTCTGGCATCAGCAGAAGCTGCCTCTGCTGTATCCACTGCAGGATGAGAACCCGGGGCTTGCCCCCTCTGCTGGGGCAGATGCCATCCCAGAGGGTGGCCCTTGGCTACACTCCTCTAGGCCAAGGAAGCTGCCTTCTTTTGAAGCCCAAGAAAGGCCAGAGGCTCCAGGGAGCTCTGAGGGGATGGCCGTCCTGAGCAGGGGTCAGGTGATCAGCACTGCCAGCACGAGGGCTGGGCTGGCTTTCCACGTTTCCCACCCAGCTGCCACCACCCTCGCTGGGCTTGCTGCCCCCTGTGTGGGCTCCACATCCACCTTTAGGCAGTTCTGCACCATAGGGTGGCCTAGTACAGGGCACGGTGGCACACTCCTATACAGGGCTAAGCAGGAGGGTCACAAGTTCTAGGCCAGCCTGGGCAACTTAGCAAGACCGTGTCTCAAAAAGGTTGGGGACCTAGCTCAGTGGCAGCATGCCCCTAGGCTCAACCCCAACACCAAAGGACAAGAAGGGCCTGGAGCTGACAGCCGGGGTGCACTCTAACTCTGTTCCTTGGGGCGTCCTTCTTGCTGAGCAAGGAAGATGTGGGCAGCTGCAGGGGATGGGCACAGAGGGCAGCGGCGAGTCCTGGAGGCCCTGCCTGACGCTAGCCCAGCCCTTCCCCACAGGTGGTCCTCATCCTCAGTGGGAACCTGAGCTTCCTGAACTGGCTGACTATCGTGCCCAGCCTCAGCTGCTTTGACGACGCCTCTCTGGGATTCCTGTTTCCCTCAGGGCCAGCTGGCCTGAAGGACAGAGCCCTGAAACTGCAGGACGAAGAAGCCCAAGGGGCCCAGTCCCGGCCAAGACACGTAGGTAGGACGCAACAAGGACAACTGCATGCTGGACAGCCACAGGGCTCCCACACCTCAGAAGGGCAGGGGAGGGCAGTTGGGAAGGCCCCTACTGTATCCCAGGAGCTGGGACAGCCAGACCCCTACAAGGGATTGTGGATAGGAGGCCAGCTGAGGTGTCCCCGGTTCTCCTTGAGCCTGGAGGGCAGCAACCAGGTCTCAGGGGCACAAGCCAAGGGGACACTGCTGCTCCTTGCTAGGCTTGGGAGCCGGCTGACAAGACCTGCCTTCCCTCTGCAGGCTGTGCTGTGCGCCGCGTGGTCAACCTCTCGCTGGGCGTCCTCCTGGCCTGGCTCAGTGTTCCTGTGGTCCTCAACCTGCTGAGCGCCAAGCAGGTCATGAACACCACCTTCGGCTCACTCAGGATCGTCAACAGCTATGGGGCCTTTGGCAGGTACCGCTGGCCCCATACTGGCCCCTCCACTCTGGGCCCAGGCTGGTGGGAGTTGGAGTCCCCAGCACCTCAGGTGGATGGAGAGCCCATACCCCACATGGCACAGAAATGCTGCAGACCCACGGGCCCTGCCTCTGCCTTCCCACAGCATCACCAAGGAGCGGACAGAGGTGATCCTGCAGGGCACAGCGAGTCCCAACGCCAGTGCCCCTGATGCTGTGTGGGAGGACTATGAATTCAAGTGCAAGCCCGGTGATCCCTGGAGGCGGCCATGCCTGATCACCCCCTACCACTACCGCCTGGACTGGCTCATGTGGTTTGCGGCCTTCCAGGTGAGGGAGTGCTGCCCCACCTCTCCCTCCCTCCCAGGTATGCCCTGGGTGCTTGCAACAGACCACTGTTCTGGCTTTGCTGTGGGGTACCAGTGTTGACAGTGACATAGGCCCAGGGCCCTTGGCCCTCCTCCTGCTGAGCCTTCCCAGTGCCATCCTAGCTGGAGGAAATGGCCTCAGCAGGATAAGGCTAGGGGGCAGGTGGCTGGGAGGGGGCAGAAGTATACACAGACAAGTGACCCTCAGGCCAGCAGGCAGCCCACATGCAATAGACCCTTAGTGACAGTGCTAAGAATGGCTGGAGAGGTGGAGGCACAGCCTGCACCCCAGACTCACGAGCACCATCCCTGCAGACCTACGAGCACAATGAGTGGATTCTGCAGCTGGCCGGCAAGCTGCTGGTCAACGACGCCCAGGCCCTGTCCTTGCTCGCCTCCAACCCCTTTGAGGGCAGGCCACCGCCCAGGTAAGCCCCTCCTGGCCTTGCCTGGGCTTGACCTCACGGGCCTCAGGCCATCTGGGAAAAAAAAAACCTGCCCGCAGGGCCTCTGGCCCACACCAGCCCTGTGCCCAAAGGGACCTGTCTGGCTCCCGCTCCAGCAGAGGTCTGCACAGTGACACGGTGGCAGCCCAGGAGCTATCCTCTTAGGGTAAGGGATTCACTGGAGCCATGGATGGCCGCCAAGCCCAGCTTTCCAGAGACCCCGCAGCCTCCCACACTGGGGTCTGAGTGGGAGCTGTGATGTGTGTGGAGCCAGGGAGCAGCCAGGGACGAGGGACAGCGCAGTCCCAGCTGGCCGTCCATTCTGACAGAAGATGCTCCTGTTTCCCCTCAAGAAGCCTCAGGGCAGCTGCACCGTGGAGCTGCCCACAGCTGGCCAGGCAGCAGGAGGGCCTACAGAGGCGGCAGCAGCTGCGCCGTCTGGCAGCCCAAGCAGGGGGCCCCTGGCCAACTGAGGCTTCTGGAAGCCCTCCCCGCACTGCCCAGCAGACCTGGACCAGCACAAGCCCCCAAGGCCATCGGTCCCCTGGTTTGCCTGTGGCCAGGCCTCTCTGGTCCAGGAGCTGTGTCCCTCCAGACTTGAGGCAGGTTTCTCTGGCCCTCTGGCCAGGCTCCCACCTGGGCTTATGCCATCCCAGCAAGGCTGTGCAAGGCCACTGAGCTGTCGCAGCCCGTGTGCCGAAGGCCTGAAAACCAGAGGCGGTGGTGGTCTCCAGTGGAGGCTGGGCACCTGGAGGTGCCAGACCCAGCCTGTCCCTGCTGTGCGTTGGCAGCGGGCTCACTTCTAGGGGAACATTGAACATGGCTACAGAGCATGCGCCCCACTGCCTGATCCTCCTGACGAGGGAGTGGACACTTCCCTGTTCCCAAGGACAGCTGAAAGCTCTGGATGCTGCAGACACAAACGGTGGCCCTGAAGCAGGGAGGGTGGCAGGCCCCCAGCCACAGCCCTGAGGCAGAGGCTCCTGGGTTTTCTTTCTGCCTCAATAAAGATGCGCAACTCAGAGCTGCCTGCCAGCCAACAGCCAGAAGGTGCAAGGAAAGCTGCCTCCGTCCCCAGGGCAAGGAGCAGCCATCAGGCAAGACAATCACAGAATGACACCACTGCAGAGCAGTTGCCCTGCCCCAGGACCATGTGGGCCTGGCTGCATTCTGAACATGGAGCCCCTGCCCACGAGCTGTCAGAGGCTGCCCAGCAATGGGGGACACACCCCAGTGGGCAGTGAGACCATGTGGGCCCCTCCCAGAATGTAGGAGGTGACTCCTAGTAGAGCCAGGGGCCTGGTGCCGGGCACATGACCACTGCCTCCCAGTGTGACCTGAGGCTTGGCCCCTCCAGCAGATCCAGAGCAGGAGGTAAGGGAGATCAGGGACCTCGTGGCATCCACAGGAGAGCCAGCAAGATGTCGACTGGAGATGTGCCCTTCTGCAGACAAGAGGTCTGGGCAGCTGCCGTGCAGGTCCTTCAACCACTCACAACACACATGGTCCAGCGGTCTCTGGGGAGGAGAGTCAGGACCACTGTGCAGACTCCACTGCGGGTCTCAATGCCTCCCGCTGCAGAGACATGCCTGCCATGCCTGGAGAGCACGTCGCTGCCACATGGCGGAGTCCAGTGTGGGGAAGGGTGTCAAGGAGCTGTAGTTGCAGTCCAGAGCACCAACAGCCTGAAGGACAGTGCAGACCAGGAGGACCGTCGCCTGCACAGAGCACGCACACCAGAGCCGAGGGACCACAGCCGCAGCAGGGGTGACCTCAGTGGATGGCACGCCAAGGAGGGGAGTCACCACAGCCACCAGCGCTGCCAGTAGCCGGCTGGGTCAGGGCATGGCACCCACAGGGCTCGCCAGGCATGGGGCTCACCAGATCTTGGCCCCATGCCGACTCGTGCCTTTCCACATGGCCCCTGCGAAGCTCCTACGGCTCCAGGGCCAAATGCCAAGAGGAGGACAGAGAGCACACAGCTGCCAGCCTGCCCCACCTTCCTAGAGCCACACCCCTTCTCAGGGACACTGAGATCATCATCGCTGTGCAGGCCAAAGCACAGAGGAGCCCCCTTCCCCGGGACATAGCGTGTCCGCCATCCTGTGGCCCAGGGCACAACACGGGCCCTGAGCCACTAGAGGCTCAGGGTGGGGCCTCCCTCTGTGCAGGCTCTGTGCATGGGCGGCCTGGGCGGGCAGGCATAGGGGCCACTGGGGGACTGACCTGCTGTTCCTGTCCCCACAGGTGGATCCGAGCAGAGCACTGGCGGTACAAGTTCAGCCTTCCTGGGGGCAAGCACGCCGCAGAGGGCAAGTGGTGGGTGCGCAGGAGGCTCGGCCCCTACTTCCCCGCAGTCCGCCTCGAGGACCTGGAGGGCTACTTCAGGGAGCAGGACTAGCCTCTCCAGGCAAAGCCACAATAAAGGCCCACGGACAGGCACTGCTGTGTGATTCCCTGGTGCCCATTGCCCCTTTCCAGGAGGGTGACCCCTGATCTCCCACAGGGCAGCCTGGCACCAGGCCTCCAAGTACTGCACCTGCCCATCCTCTTGCCCTCACAGGGGACAGCTGCCCAAGCTCAGGAGCAGCCCCGCCCAGGGAACCGTGCCCACACAGGAGGGGACTAGGCCTGCAGCCCACCTAGATGGGCCCACCTCTATTATCTCAAACTCATCACAGTCTACACCTGTACCCCACATCCTCCCCACGTGGTCAGCCTTTGAGGTGTGGACAGAGCCACCGTCCTCCACATGTGGCTGTGTCCCCAGCCTCGTATTAGTGACCTGCAGAGGCCACAGGGATGGCGGCACCATGCCTGGGGGTGTGCTGGGATGCCATGCTCCCTCCTGGCTGAGTGGGGTGGGTCGCAAGGCACCTGGAGGAGCCTGTCCCACCCCACCCTCTACCCACAGTGCCACGGCCAGCCATTCTGCAAAGCCTTCCAGGGACAAGGTGGCTCCACAACAGGCCAGCCAAGCTGGGCACAGTCGGAGGAGCCCCCTGTGTGGAGCCCCTCAGCCTGCCTAGTCAGCCTAGAAAGGAACAGAGGGTCAGTGCTCTGGCTCCTGGGGAAATAGGCGCCTTGTGTCTATGGGGACAGATGGGCCTTGGAGCAGGGAGCCTGGAGCCAGCCAGTCTGCCCTCAGCAACCTCAGGGCTGACTGGCTGCCCCAACCCCGGGACCCTTCCTGGGGCCCTGTGAGGGGTCTCCGCAGGACAGCAGTGACTAGAACTGTCAGGGACTCTCCTCTGGAGAGGCAAGCCCTGGGGGGAAGCCTGCGGCCACCGCCCCACAGTCCTAGCTGGAAGGCAGGGTCCGAGACAACCAGCAAGAGCCACGGCAGGCCTGGGGGAGGCACCCTCCAGCCTGACAGCCCCCCCCCAAGGGAAGGCCAGGGAGGGCCAGGCAGGAGCAGCTCACCATCCCAGACAGCCGCCCGCTCTTGATCGTCTGTCAGCTGTCTGTGTGTCTGCCAGCCACGTGGAACCATAGGACGAAGACACCAGCCAGGCCTCCTAGGGTGCAGCAGGGCTCAGGGTCAGCTGGCAGTGTCCCCCTGGGCTCTGACTCCAGGTGCCCAGCCCTGTTCAGGGAGACCCCCACCCCAGGGTGTGGTCACTCTAGACATCTGCTCACCTGGGGACACTCCAGGGGCCTGAGGTCCTGATGGTGACCGCAGTCGCCTCTCCCTCACCAGCCCTACTCCCTGAGGAGCCGGCACATTTGTGTCTGCCCTCAGCTCCCTGTGGCACTGTCCACGCAGGGCAGAGTGCCTGGCTGTACTCAGTCTGCAGTGGTCAGTGTGGGTTTTGGGGCACTGACAACAGGAGCCAGTGTGGGGTGGGTGGTGCTTGTGAGTGGGAGCCGGAGACCTGGGACTGTCACCCACTGAACTGAGGAAGCAGCTAGAGGAGCTGGGTGCCCGGGAACTAGCCCAGCCAGGATGAGCAGTAAAGACTGGGCGTCCCAAGAGGCACACAGATGGGAGAGTGGCCTGAGGCTCCACCAGGCCTGTCCAGGGTCCAGTGGCCTCGTCTACGGCAATGGAGCCCCAATTCTCAGGCTCTTGTGACTGCAAATAACGAGGAATAAAGCTAGAGCCCTCACAGTCTGATTTCAAACTCTGCAACAAAGCTGCAGTAGCCAAAACTGGCGCTGGCACAGGTCAGCAGCCTAGAAAAACTCTGACAGCTGTTGACAAGGGTGCTGAGGTCCCAGTTTGAAGAATGTGTGGGCCCTTCACACCATGTGCAGAAGTTAAACAGGAGAAATCCCGAAGGAGAACCAACTGCAGACACAAATGGTAAAGCCCAGGGACACCCTAGGACATGGGACAGGTCACCAAACTCACCAGGACTGCATCTCAGAGTGGTGTCCAGAGCACGCAGACACCACCACAGGAGACAAAAGCCCAGCAAGGACCAGGAGGAGGACATGCACGGAGCCTCCTGTGAAGCAGATGCAAATCCCAGTGTGTACCTGGAGAGCACTGGCCATCCTTGGCCACAAGGGGAGCACAGATGGAGCCCTGAGGACAGAGGGTGGACCTGCTGCCTCTACGGTCCCCTGGGACAAAGCTGGGCCCTGCTGTCACACTTCCAGCCATGGGCCCGGGAAGACTGAGGACAACATTCCCAACATCATTCATGACAGCCAGAGGCCTATCAATCTACTGATGGGCAGACTTCAGCCACAGGAGGACCCTGGAAACGAGGTTCTGGAAGGGGCCAGGTGCAGAAGTGCCCATGTGACTGCCTGTGGCCACGTCCTAGGAGCAGTTCAGCAGCAGGTTGGGTGGCCCGAAGAGGCAGGGGCCACAGGAGAACGGAATGCAGTGTCAAGTTCAAGATGGCCGACTTTGCAGTTATGTCTGTTTTACATCCGGATTCTAGAACACAGTCCCTGAGTGTTCCGAGAGCCTGGACCTGGCCAGGGACTGGAGACACTGTACAGCACATCAACTGCAGTGGCCAATGCAGGGCCACTGGCCCCCTTCTGGGTCTGGGGAGGACACAGGAGCCAATGGGGCTGGAGACTTACCTTCGCCGTCTGCCACCCAGTGGCTGGGCTGTCCGCATGTATCAGGCGTTGGCCAGAAGTTGGGGGGGGGAGTCGCTGGGCCTTGCAGGGGTGGGGTGCCACGTCCAGGTCAGGTAAGGCAGCAGGGGCCACCTGGTAGCCTACAAACATGTACCTCAGTGATGCCCGCCCCTCAGCACCTGCTGCTGCCTGCTCAGCCCTCACCCTGCCAGTCATCTCCAGGCCTGGGCAAGGCAGGCTGCTTCCTCCCTGCAGGCACGCAGCCGGCCCCGCCTAGGCTGGCACTGGGTCTGGACCAGGCAACTCGCTACTCTAGGGCTCTGCCCAAACCCCGGTGCAGACGGTGGCCAGACCACGCCAGATGAGGTCAGCCCTGGAACCTAGTGGTCTCAGCCCACAACCTGCCTTGACTTGCTGGGCACGGCTGGGCCCTCACTTGCCAAGGGTTTCCTAGTGTCGGTGTGCAACTGAGGGACAGCAGAGCCCTTCTCCCAGCACCTGCCATGCCTCATCTTCTCCCTGACCTGGAGGCCATCCCTGCAGGCCTCAAGTAGCTGCACAGCCTTATCTGCAACCACGCAGCAGAGCTGGACACGGCCCAAGTGGAGAAGGGGAACACTGTGGGCAACTTGCCTCCCATATGAGCCCACGTCCTAGGTCAGGGGAAGACCCAGGGAAGATGTGGCTGTCATGGCGACCCTGGACACAAAATCTCAGAAGTCCCAGGAGGAGGAAGATGGGAGACTCTTCCAGGGGAGCTCTGGACAGCTCAAAGTGTTGGGCACCACCCACCTGCAGAAGCTAGGTAGTGACTCCCACAGCCGCACAGGCACTGTCCAGGGCCTCCCCAGGAGCGAGCACAGCCTGGGGGCATCTGCCAGGGAGAACAGGAGCCAGGGGTTCTCCCACACGTGGCTGGCGGCACACCATGGCAGCATCTGATGTCAACACTGGCTCAGCACAGTCCTTCCATTAGAAGGGGTCCCCAGGAAGGATGGGGCTGGGGAACACACCAGCAGGGGTGTACGTTTGTCAGAAGCCACTGTGGTATAAAATAGGTGGGTTTCGTTTATGTCACTTACACCTAGCTCTGGACAGGCCCAAGGTGCCATGGTCCTGATCCCTTCTGTGCAGGCTCCGGCCTCCTGGGTACCTGTGCGCACAGCCACTCCTGGATAAAGTCACTGGAAAGGAGAGACACTGCCACACCCCAGGAGGACCAACAAAGCTGCCAGCCCAGTCAGAGGCCTGGTGTGCAGGCAGCAAGTTAAGGCCACAACTGCTCACAGGATCAGGCACAGAGACAGCTCCCCTGCACTCTTCCAGGACAGCTGTACCAGCCTTACGCTGCCACAGAGTACCCCACAGAAAACTTGGCCTCCCTCCGGTAGGGCTGCAAGCCAGGGCCATGCCTGGGGGCCACCGGACTCTGGCCATGCTGATGTCTGCTGTGGACATCGTCTGGGCTCAGACTTTGCATGTGTTCCCATCACAGTAACCCATGTCACTCAGAGCCTGCTGTGTTGGGCATGGGGAGCCTTGCACTGGACATGTGGGAAGGGAGAGGGGCCCTGGGCGAACATACCCTCCACACTGCCCTGCCACCCAGCCTGTGCCATGCCCTGGTAACTCCGCTGTCCTTGGCTGCATTTTCCTAAAGTCAGCTCTGAGCTCAAGTGGCACAGGCAAGGCCCAAGGCAGCCTTGTGCCTTGAGCGCAGCCTCACCTGCCAGGCCAGCCAGGGAGGCTGCCACCAAGTGGACGGGCCAAGTGGGACCACACTATACCCCCCAGGTGGCAGGCAACACCCACTTGTCCTCAGGGAAGGTCAGGCCCCTCGCCTGGCTCCAGCAGGCTGCACCTGGGCCCCAGCACTGGTGCCAGCCCTTCAGCTGTGCCCTCCATGGTAGGCACATTAGCATCTCAATGGCCTGGATTGATAGCCAGGGAGCAGCTGCCTGGGCACAGGAGAAGGGAGCAGCCTTGCTCCTTGGGGTGGGCTGGGCTCCGTCAAGTGGCTTCCTCTCCCCACATGGCCCCACTCACAACTGGATGGAAGAACACCAAGCTCTACCAGCAGTAGCCAGGGCCTCTGTGTCCCTCAACGTCCGCCCCGGGGCAGCCACGCAGCTGTAGGGCTGGGCAGCCAGGCTCCGTTCCTGCCTTTGCTGTGAGCAGAGGTGGGGCCAGGCCCAGGCCCATCAGTACCTGCCCAGCCCAGGAGGCACAGGCTCTCCACCAGCCCCTGGGGAAGCCCCTGGTCCCCACAGCTTGGCCCTTCCTGCAACTGTCTGCCCCATCACTGGAGCATCAGCTCCACCTGAGGATCGGCCGTATCCCCAGATGATGCCACTGCAGTGGGCTGGGTAGTGTCCCCAAATTCAGATCCACCCTGGACCTCAGGATGTGACATTTGGGAAGAGGGTCCTTGAGAAGAATTGAGGATTGGGAGGTCTGCAAATCAGTGACAGGTGCTCAGAGAGGAGACAGGAGGAGGGATGAGACCAGAGCAGGAAGGACAGTCCTCCCACCAACCTTAATGGAGGGTGGCCCTGCCCACACCTGAATTCTGACCCGGGGCCTCCAACCTGTGGGAGGATAAACTCTCCTGCTTGAAGCCCCAGGTGAGGCCCTTTATTGTAGCCCCCAGAGATCACACACTGCCAGCCTGGGAGCAGGTGGCAGAATGTAGCCCCGAGTGCCCTCAGTCACCCTTGCAACCAGGGCCAGGCCCCCCACTCCTGCTGGCCCCACAGAGGGCCATGGACACTGCTTCCTTCACAGCCCAGTGCTGGGGCAACACAGGACAGGCCCAGGCCTTGGAGATGTTCGCAGGGGAGGCCCACAGGGCACCAGGGACTGATGGTACCCACTGGCAGGCGACATCACAGACACATGAGCTCCCTGGCACCTCTCTGCAGACACTTGGCTGACAGCTTTCCCGTGTGTGGTTGGCAAGACCTTCCAGAACAGGAGCGCTCTGCCCGCAGCCCTGCCTGCTGGGATGTGGCCACGCCTTGTGCAGAAGCGCCCCCACCCCGCCATCCCCCACCTCAAGTCTATCCCGCCTGGGGCTGCACAGCCCACAGTGGGCAGCCTGTCCGTCCTCCCCATGAACACTGAGGGCACAGAGCCAGGTTTTCCAGACATGGGCTCTGGTCTGGCCTGGTGCAGCCTGGAGCCCTGGGGAAGCAGTGGAGGCTGCCAAGCCCAGAGGGCCCCCTGGTGGCAGTGGCCACTGGAAGGCCTCAAGGCAGCTCTGCACTGACCGGCCACACGTCACTGCAGAGTTCTCCTGCCACATCCCCAGGGCCAGTGGAGGGCGCCTGAGGTCTCAGGCCAAGCCAGGGCTGATATCACAGTGAGGGGAGGCTCTGCGCCTGCTGGGGACAGGGACAGAGACAGCTGGGTGTCACCTGTTAGGGCTGGGCACCACAGTTGTGCTGTAGCATAAGTCCAGGACACTGAACCGGTTGGACACACTCCCTGTGCCTCAGTCTGCTGGCAGGAGTCAGGGACAGGCCTGCCAGCAGGGCAGATTGTGTCCTAGACCCCTGCCTAGATGCCATAATGCTCACAAGGCCCCTCTGGACCCAGGGATTCCAGTGCTGAGCCCAGTCCCTGCAGGCAGTGCCCAGGGAGCATCCCCCGGGGACAGGCAGAAGCTGTCTGGCTTGGCAGTGGGTCCAGACCTGGTACATCCCACAATATACCTGTCATATGTACCTGGTACATCCCAGGTTCTGCCCTGGTACATCCTCCCCTGCGAACATCTCAAGCATAGCCTGCTCAGGCCCTTGCCTTGGTACCAGGACAGGACCCACTGCCAAACCAGCAGCAGCCTCCTCCAATCCAGTGACAGTGAGGAAACAACCTTGGTGACAGCAGCAGATTGTCATGCTGAGCTCAGACTTTGTGCCCCTAAGGCAGGGACCCTGGAAGAAGCCAGCAGCTATGCTGATCCCCACAACCTCACCTCTGAACCAAGAACCAGCAAGGGCCTCCACTGGAGGCTGTTCCCTCCCATCCCCGTGGGTCTGTGGGTCCAGCTGGGGCAGGAAGGGGACACCAGGAGACTGACCTGGGTGGCTATAGAACCACCATCATAGAGAGAATGGTGGACCTCAAGACATAAATGCACATCCTGATCCCAAAACCTGCAAATAGAGCCCAATTTGGAAAATAGGGTTTTGCATAATAAAGTTAAGAGATCATCCTGGCTGTGGTGGCCCTGAATCAATGAGACGGGCAGAGAGCAGCCACATGGCCACCAGCCACAGTAACAGTCACCAGGGGGGGAAGGACCCCCTTGATCCCTGAGGGCACACAGCCTGCCCAGGCCTCAACTGCTGGCTTCCATGGCTGGGAAGGTAAGTCCCTGTTTGGAGACGTGGGGGTAGTGGCCTGGCAGAGTAGCCCTGGAGATGCCTGCTTTGTGGTGGCAGCTCCCTGGTGGCCATCTCCCGTCAGCCTTGGGGGCTTAATACGCAGGGTTGAGACTCACTGGACACAGTGGTCTCAAGTTCCTCTACACACACGTGCTCAGCACCAGGTAAGAAAGAGACCAGGTACGGCAGGTGCTGGAGGACCCCTGACTACTGAGGAAAATAAACATCCAGGTCCAAGTGGCCTCAAGATGAATCCCACAACAAACTCAGAGTCTCTTCCAGAAACCAGGGCACGAGGAAGACTCCCCAGTCCTTGGGTCAGGAAAGAACAGTCCATGAAACCACAGACCACGTCCGCGTCCCAGGAGCATGGAGGCCCAGGCTCAGTGGGGAGGGAGTTGGCTAAGGCACCCGCCCTGTCTAGACTCCAACTTGTAACGAGGCTCTGTGTTCCCGGCCTACAGTCACCTCTTCCCAGGGCCCACTGTCCCCTTCAGTGTGGTGCCCAGGAGGCCTGTGCTCAAACTGACCCCTTGGCTCCCAGCAGCCCCAACACAGTTCTGTCTCCTGCTGCCTCTAAAGAAGGGACCCCAAACTGGCTTAGAGCAGCAGAGTCACCCTCTGTCTGGAGCCCAGGGCCCAAGATCACCCCTCCAGGGCTGGTACAGCAGGAGGACACACAGAGAGGTAGTCTCTTCCCCACCCTATGCCACCTCCTTGGCAGGGCCCACCATCCCAGCCACTCTGGCTTTGGACTCCTGCCACCAAATTAGGGGAGGGCCTGGAGGGTGGGATTTTGTCCTGATAGATGAGTGTGACAATAAGGCCACAAAAGCACTAGAACAAGGATCATCTGGGATCAAGCCCTTTGGCAAACCATGGCAGGAATCAGGACCACACAGCCAGCAACCCCAGCACCTCACTGGAGGAGTGTAGCCGTGTTGTGGAGGGTCCCAGTGGCCCCCTGACCAAGCATCTCCTGGCATCACAGGGACGTGTGGGGTGCCCCAAGGTGTCCACAGGGATGCACAGGGGCGTGGGGCTCTGATGGGCAACAGTACGTCCCCAGTGCAGCCAGGTCCATGTGGCCCCTGCTCCCCTGAGCACTCTGCACTCCCTGCCACCTCCCACTCTCCTCTCTGGGCCCCTCAGCACATCCTAGAGGCAGCCACCTGCCCGGAGATCTGGTCCCCTGTGACCCCAGCCCAGCTCTTAATGCAGACTTACTGAGAGACACTTCACCTGCCAGAGCGTCCATCCATTTAAGTGCATCTTCAAAAGGCTCAAGCGTGTCCATGAAACAGTGCCCGCCCTGCCACCCACCCCTGAGCGTTTTCCTCACCCTGACAAAAGCCCAGGGCCACACAGCCACCCTCCTCCTGTGTGCAACACAGCTGGTCTGAGCCTCCTACAGGAGGTTATCAGCTGGAAGCCCTGGGCACCCATCAGCCTGGCTCAGGCGAGCTGCTGAGGTGGAGCCACGTGGCCAGGGACAGGGCCATCAGGAGAGGGCACGTGCGACCTCATCACTCCTTCAGCACAGTGCTGATGAGCACACAGAACCCCACGCTTCACCGCAGCCCTGGGCTCAGCCTGTAGCCCTGGGGCATGAGAAGAGGGAGACCCC